GGGTTTAGGGTTTAGGGTTTAGGGTTTAGGGTTTAGGGGTTAGGGTTTAGGGTTTAGGGTTTAGGGTTTGGGGTTGGGGGGTTATAGAGGCCATCAGGGAGAAAATGATGCGTTGGTTGTGGTTTTCTGCATATTGTATTCGAATTGGGGTTTAGGATTAGGGTTTAGGGTTTAGGGTTTACTAGGGTTTAGGGTTTAGGGTTTAAAGCCTAGAGGGCGTTGTTCTGGGCACTTGGGAGGGATAACCAGACAGCGCTCTCAACGTTTAGCGTTTAGGGTTTAGGGTTTAGGGTTTGGGTGTTGCATAAATTCAGGGTTTTGGGGTTAGGGTTTAGGGTTTAGGGTTTAGGGTTTAGGGTTTAGGGTTTAGGGTTTGGGTGTTTCAGGAGTTTCGTGTGTTTGAGGGAAATTTAATTAAATTTTTAAATTTTCCGCTTTTAAGAAAAATGCGAGAAATCAGCAAAAGTGAAGTTCACTTTCTTGTTGTCGTGAGCTAGGGTTTAGGGTTTAGGGTTTAGGGTTTATTAGGGTTTAGGGTTTTCTAGGGTTTAGGGTTTAGGGTTTAGGGTCTAGGGTTTAGGTTTAAGAACCGCGGCGGGGGCATCACGATTTTCGCTCTCTAGAAGGACGCTGACTCTCAAGGGTTTAGGGTTTAGGGTTTACTAGGGTTTACGGTTTTGGTTTTAGGGTTTAGGGTTTAGGGTTTAGGGTTTAGGGTTTGGGCGTGCAGGTGTGCGAGACCATACGCGAGTTTTTACGAAGACCCTACGTCCTCTGTGAGGACCTAGGAAGCATCAACAACACCGTCATANCATACGCGAGTTTTTACGAAGACCCTACGTCCTCTGTGAGGACCTAGGAAGCATCAACAACACCGTCATATTGGTGAGGGTTTAGGGTTTACTAGGGCTTAGGGTTTACGAGGGTTTAGGATTTACTAGGGTTTAGGGTTTTCTAGGGTTTAGGGTTTTTTAGGGTTTAGGGCTTTCTACGGTTTATGTATGGATAGTGGGTTTATTATTATTGAGTGCTTAGTGTTGATTAGGGTTTAGGGTTTACTAGGGTTTAGGGTTTACTAGGGTTTCCTAGGGTTTACTGGGGTCTATTAGGGTTTAGGGTTTTGGTTTAGGGTTTACTGGAGGCTAACCTCGTCCGCCCCCGCCTAAACCCTCGCCGGGTGGAGGTTACAAACGTCTTTATTAAAAACCTTCTTCAGGCTTACTGCAATCAAAAATACGGTGAGGGTTTAGGGTTTAGGGTTTACGAGGGTTTAGGGTTTACGAGGGTTTAGGGCTTAAGAGGGTTTAGGGTTTACAAGGGTCTAGGGTTTAGGAAGGTTCAGGGTTTACGTGGGTTTAGGGTTAACGGGGGTTTACTAGACTAGGGTTTAGGGTTTAGTAGGGTTTAGGGGTCAGGGTTT